CCCGAAACGTCAGCTTTCCTGCTCCTCTGATGCTGCTTGGCCTGCTGTGTTCATCCAGCTCTACACCTTGTTATCTCAGATTCTCCAGCATCTGCAGTTCCTACTACCCTTGTTCATTAATGTTGTTTTAAGAAGGAAATCTGTCATCCTTGCCTGGTCTGGCCTACATGTGACTCCAGACCCACAACAATGTGGATGTCTCTCAACTGCCCTCCTGAAATGGCAACACACTCTGGTCAAGGGCCAATTAGGAATTGGTGGCTTTATCAGTGCTGCCTCAAATAATGTGAAGTGAATCGAATTGGCTGAAGACTGGCGTCTCTGATGCTTGGGACCTCTGGAGAGGGCCGAGATAGATCTTTATCTTTTACATGGGCCTGCTCGGTTTCCCAATCATTCAATATGGGGATATTTGTGGAGCTGCCTTCTCCTATTAATTGTTCAATTGTCAACCATCATTCACAACTGGATGTGGCAGGACTGCACGTGCATTGGCTGTGAGATGGTGTTTGGGGAGGCGAGAGTTTGGGGATTTTGATCCTGGATGATGAAGGGCTGGCTCTATACTTCCAAGCAATTAGAGGTGGGCATTTTGGGATAGGCAATAAATGCTGGCTTGGCCAGAGATGCCCAAATCCCATTAATCAATAAAACAACTCTCACTTTAATTGTGGAAATTTATAAATTGGAAATTTATGGAATATTGCTGTGTTTTCCTTTCAGAATTGCCTGGTGAAGCATGAAGGGAAGTCATACACAGCTGTGGTGGGAGACTTTGGCCTTTCAGAAAAAATCCCGAATTATAGGTGAGTGAAAATAAAAAGCAAGAAAGAACTTGCATTCATATAACGTCTTTTACACATCTTTAAATTCCAAAATGCTTCGAATGAACTACTTTAAAGTGAAGACACTGTTGTAATGTAGCAATTGCAGCAACCAATTTGCACACAGATGAAATTGAATGGTCTGATTTTATGTTAGCAATTAAGAGATAAATATTCATTGCAACACCTTGGAGAACCTCCTCGCTTGTCTTTTAAATAATAACTGTGAGATCTTGTACACCCAACTAAGAAGGCACACGTGGCCACTGTTTAATTTCATCAAAATGCCTCACCCTGGCACTGCAGCACTCCCTCAGTACTGAACTGCAAGTGACCATCTAGATTTGGTGCTTTAGGTTTGTGGTGAGAGTTTGAATCTGACTCTGAAGTGAGAGTCCTGTCCAGTGAAACGAAATTGATCCTGATTAGCTGACTTGAAAGGAAATGAGAGCAAGTAGGATATAAGGTCCATCGGAAAAGATGCAAAGTGATTCATGAGGATGGTACCAGAAATGAGAAGGTAAAAATGAGAATGGCAAAACAAGCTAGGGCTCTTGCCTCTAATGGTAACCTGATAGACATCTTTAAAACTATGATGGGACTTGATCATTCCACTTGTTGGCCACATCCAAAGCTAAGGATAAAAATTGTAAGATAGTCACATAAGATGGTAACATAGAAGAAATGACTTTCGAGGGTTTAGAATGTGGAAATTGTTCCTGAAATGATGCTGGTTCTTCCTGTGCACTGTGCAGTTTGAAGAACTCAGCTGTTGCATATAACACTAAATAGATACAACTGTGAGAATTCGTACAGGTGCTTCATTGTAAAGGCTAAGATCACCGTTCTAATGCCTCTTCCCTTGTGTATAATACACAGCCTTAATTCTTAGTACCATGTTTTACTTACTTATTTAGACTCAAAAGACACGTGGCAGACAGAGCATACATTATATCTGTTTCCATTTTTAGATTTACCTGGGATGGGTAACTGGGTCCGAAGCCAGAGGCTTTAGTTAGAGGGGTGCCACCCCTCAAGACTAGCTGATCAGGAGAGATAGTAGGAACTGCCGGTGCTGGAGTCCGAGATAACAAGGTGTGGAGCTGGATGAACACAGCAGGCTAGGCAGCATCAGAGAAGCAGGAAAGCTGACGTTTCGGGTCTGGACCGTTCTTCAGATCTGATCAGGATACTCCACTGCTCCTACTGCCTGTTGTAAACATGTTCATACATTTTACAGCATGATAATCAACCTGCTTGGTGTGTTATGAATGTACCTTTCATAGCCAAACAAGCTCTCACACATATTAAGAAAAAAACAAAAGGACTTAACTGTAGTAATTGTAATGAGGTCAGCCAGGTGAGCGTCATAGAATAAGAGTTCCCTGATTGGACCAGATTAACAGCCTCAATCAGGGAGCCCTGGCTGACAGAAAAAAACAGGAGGGTCAGAGGTACTGTTGACTCGAAGAGCTGGCTCAGTGTGAAGGACTCTCCCTGTGTAAATAAAGGTGATGTGGTAATGGGATACCAGTCTCAGTGGAGTAATTTCACTTACTCTTTAAAAAGGCATGTTAAAATAAAGTCTACATCATTTCCTTAAAACCCAAAGCCTTTTCAAGAAAATGAACAGATCCTGATAAATTAAGTCATGTGAAAATAGTAACTGAGGTTCTGTTTTCAATTTGATAGGTGTTTTGATTTTTAACAGAGCCACTTTTACAGACATGTAATGAAATGTTGATGCAATACAAGTCTGAGACCGGTAGCTACTGAAGAATTTCACAGCCAGTTATACCCAATTTATAGTGCAGGCTAACACCCCAGAGAGATTGGGCTAGAATGTGGTACTTATAGGCCACAGTTGTGGCTAATTGTGTCGATGCATTTATGGGGAAGTTAGTGAACACATGAGGAGTAGAGGAATTTTGGGATCAGCTGGTATGAGGTTTGTGTGGATTCTGCTTGATGGTTAGAAGCAGGTTCTTCCTCCCTATGGAAACCAGACGACTTCTCTCGGGCTGCAGGACACCCTGACCTCATGTTCTGGTTTTCATTAGAGAAAGGAAGGCCAAAAGGAGACATGATCCAAATGTCTAAAAATGCTGATTAGAATGAAAGTAAAGGCCAAATCTCAAACACAAACTGTGAGCATGCAGTGAGACATTTAAAACGAATTCTTTTGCACATCATAGATGGTGATGAAGGAAGCTAATTAGTCCATGTAAACTCACCTATCCAACAATATCTGGTTGTGCTGTCTTTGCTATTTGTGGAATCTTGCTTTGCGCAAATTGGTTTCCATGTTTTCTCTGTTATGTTTGGGGGTGGCATTCAGTCATAATCCCACAGATGGTAGCTTTGCACCATTGGCTCCTCTGCCAAGCATGTATTCCAGATGTTTCAACCTGAGATTCCCCTGGTTCTGAATCAGATTATAATTGCAACAACATTATCAATGTTGCTTGGTTAAAATCCTGAAACTCCCTCCTGAACAGCACTGTCGTTGCACCTACACCACATGGACTGCAGTGGTTCAAGAAGGCAGCTCACCACCACCTCCTCTAGGGCAATTAGGGAAGGTCAATAAAGCTAGTAACAAAAACAGAAGTTGCTGAAAGGTCAGCAGACCTGGCAGAATCTGTGAAGAAAAAAATCAGAGTTAACGTTTCGGGTCCGGTGACCATTCCTCAGAACTGATGGCACCTGTGAAAATGTTGGTTTATATGCAGAAAATAGGGAGGAGGATAGGGTAGGGAATAAATAATAGGATAAAGGATAGAGCCCAGAGAGAGAGAGAGAGAAGAGCAGTTTGATAGACAAAAGAGTTGGTAACGATCTGGCTAGGAGGATGAATAGTTGTTAATGGAGACAGTTAGTGACTGACAATAGGTGGTGTGTAATGGCAGGCTATGTGACAACAAGGCCTGGTGAGTCAGGTACGGGGCTAGGAAATGGGAGAGTTTAGGCCGTACAATTATTGAACTCGATATTAGGTCCGGAAGGCTGCAGGGCGTCCCCAAGTGGAAAATGAGTTGTTGTCCTTCCTCTGTTCTGAGGAAGAGTCACCGGACACGAAACGTTAACTCTGTTTTTTCCTTCACAGATGCTGCCAGACCTGCTGGGCTTTTCCAGCAACTTTGTTTTTGCTGCTGTTGTTCTTCCAGTTTGCGCTGAGCAGGAACAGCGTGGTGTGTTAAAGTGGCAGGCAACAGGTAGCTCGGGGTCTTTTTTGTGAGCAGAACGTGTATGTTCTGCGAAACGGTCGTCTAGTCTATGCTTCGTTTTCTGCAGTGTAGAGGAGACCACATTGTGTGCAGCGAATGCAGTAGGCTAGATTCTGGGAAGTGCAGGTGAAGTGTTGCTTCACCTGGAAGGTATGTTTGGGCCCTTGGATAGTGGGGAGGGAGGAAGTAAATGGGCGGGTGCTGCACCTTTGCCGGTTGCAGGGGAAGGTGCTGTGGGGGAGATATTGGGAGTGAAGGAAGAGTGAACCAGGGTGTCCCAGAGGGAACGGTCCCTATGGAAGGCGGACAAGGAAGGGGAGGGGAATATGTGTCTGGTGGTGGCATCTCGCTGGAGGTGGAGGAAATAGCGTCTGATGATCTTCTGGATGTGGATGCTGGTGGGATGGTAGGTAAGGACAAGGGGAACCCTATTGCTGTTGCGGGAGGGAAGAGAAGGGGTGAGGGCGGAAGTGCAGGAGATGGGTCGAACCCAGTTGAGAGCCCTGTCAGCAACGGTGCTGGGGAATCCTCGGTTGAGGAAGAAGGTGGATGTTTTGTAAGCTCCCTTGTAAGGTTGTCCTCCTCTGAACACATGCGGCATATCCCAGAATCTAGTCGACAAGGAATCCTCTTAAATGGTCCACTCTTCCCTCATCCCCACAGCTTCATGGCACGTTCCCCTGCAACCGGCGAAGATGCAACACCTGCCCATTTACTTCCTTCCTCCCCACTATCCAAGGGCCCAAACATACATTCTAGGTGAAACAACACTTCATCTGCACTTCCCACAATCTAGTCTGCTGCATTTGCTGCTCACAATGTGGTCTCCTGTACATTGGGGAAACGAAGCGTAGACTGGATGACTACTTCACAGAACATCTACGTTTTCTCGCAAAAAAGACCCTGATCTACCTGTTGCCTGCCACTTTAACACCCTACCCTGTTCCCTAGCAACATCTCTGTCTCAGGCTTGCTGCAGGTGTTCCAGCGAAACTCAGCATGAGCTGGAAGAACAACACCTCATTTACTGCTTGAGGACCCCTGCAGTCCTCCGGACTCCATATCGAGTTCAATAATTTTAGGGGCTAAACTCTCCCATTTCCTAGTCCTGTACCCCACACACCAGGTCTTGTTGTCACTTGGCCTGCCATTACACACTACCTGTTGTTAGTCATTAACAGTTCCCCATTAACAACTATTCACCCTCCTAGCCAGATCGTTATCAACTCCTTTGTCTGTCCAACTGCTCTTCTCTCTCTCCGAGCTCTATCCTCCCATTTACTCCTTACCCCATCCCTCTCCCCATTTTCTGCATATAAACTGACATTTTCGCAGCTACCGTCAGTTCTGAGAAGCAGAGGTCACAATCTAAGGATATGGGATAAATCGTTAAGCACTGAGATGAGGAAACTTTTTCTTCACCCAGAGGGTGATGAGCCTGTGAAATTCACAACTACAGAAAGCCGTGTAGGCCAAAACATTGTATGATTTCAAGAAGGAAAAGGATGTAGCATTTGGGGCTTCAGGGATCGAAGGATATGGGGGAAAGCCAGAGCAGACTATTGAGTTGAATGATCAGCCATGATCAAAGTGAATGGCAGAGCAGGCTCAAAGGGCTAAATGGCTTACTCCTGCTCCTATTTTCTATGTTTCTATTCAAGTCAAGGATCAGTGATCATCTCTTCTCTTCCCATTCCTCTTTCCCCTCTGCTTTACTCCTCTCTTCTCCCCTTCACAGTTTCAACTCCCCTCTCC